TATATATGTTAGCAGTTTGCAAACCAGTTTTTTAATATTACATTTATTGTTTTTTGCATATTACACATGACACAACAAACGGGGTCGACCCTCATTAAACCGTGAGCAGCCGAAGATGGAAACTTCACTTGTCTGTTCCAATCAGCCACAAAGTTAGATCCAACACTTCAGTTGACACTTCATAATAAAGTGAACTGCTGAGACTCTTCTGAGCTGCTAGCTGAAGAGAGGAGCAGTGGAAAGCTTTCAAAGTTTACCTGCAGCAGTCAGGAATAATAAAGTACAACAAAGAATGTGAGGAGTGAAAAGTAAAAAAAGAGAGAACGCAGGTGAAGTCAGACTTCACTGTTGTCTTTGTCTTTTATCACAGAACAAATCCAGGGAAACCTAGAGGGGAAGCTGGCAGCCAAATTAGACTGAGTAAAAAAAACTGATGGAATAAAATACCTCGTGATTTTTTGTATTGTTGAGAAACAACTGAACAGATCAGGTGTTGATAATAAGAGTCACTCAGACAAAGAGCTGGACACTGAGAGTATCGCAGGGCTCAATCAGATAAAGAATGACCTCATGTGACAGTGTCACCTCCAGTGAGGTCAGACCTCTGTCCTGATGGAAGGAAATTAAACTCACAGTTCAACGGCTGCTGGGAGTCCAGTCAGATGACCTGATGTGTCCTTTTCTCTCTACCTACACTGAATGGATGAAACTATTTTAAATATATAGCAGTGACATCACAGCTCTTAATGATGATACATTTCAGTTGGGTTTAGTTTTGAAGGTTGAGGTAACCAGACCAACCAATAATAGAAAAGAGAAGAACTGACTGGAAACACTTAAGGCATTGACACTTTAGGCTATCTGAAGGGGTAAATGTGAGGTTTGCCCTTTAATTACAAAATCAGTGACTTGACATTAACAGTATGTTCATCACCCAGAAATGTTTGATCCCATGTGATGATGGTAACGGCAAGAGAAACCGTTAACTTAACACAGACTTGTCTTTTTGATCACTCCAAATAATTACATCTTTTAAGTAACTGACACTGAGAGCAGCCGAGAGTAGGCAATCTCTAAGTTTTGAGGGAACAGTAAAGGTCAGTAGGATTCAACCTATTGGGAGCATGAATACCTGAATCAAATTTATTGGCGATCCATTCAGGATTTATTTTTTCAGACATTCCAGTTTGTGATGGGCCAACATCCAAAACATGGTAGCCACGCTGTTAGCATTGATTAAAGACAGTTCCCAATCAAACATCTACTGTAGGGATGTTCCTGTCTAAGAATTGTTGTCAGTTAACTTGTATTAGTTCTCCTGTTCAGTACCAAACCAGCCTGGTGTTGGGACCAACATCAGTCTTGAGTTCTTGTTGCTCGACTTCTGTTCATCATTGTTTTCCTTAAGTGCCAGACATGTAAACATTTCCATCCTGTTACTTGTATAGCATTGGAAGTGCTGTTTTTACCTAAATAGAACTGTAGGACAGATTCTACTCAGCTAGTGGAGTTAGCTGCAGCTCTGCTTGCAGCCCCCCCAAAGCCGGACCGAAGAGTGTTGGAGAGTCATGAAACTGCTCTGTTCAATGTTTGTACTGGTTTCAATCACTGGGGTATTTGTATTGAAAGGAGACAGCCTTTGTTGTTTGTCAAAAAAAGCTGTGAATGATGAACCTTGATACAACATTTTGAGAGTTTGTTGAGTTTGTGTCCTGCTGTGTTGTTGTTCTGTTTACAATGAGGCAGCTAAGAAAAGAAAAGGTGCAGAGATTGGACTGATAAAATGTGAATCCTCTCAGGGTCTTCGTTCACAGCAGGCTCTGCAGCAATATGTGGCTGATCATATTTACAAGCTGAAGAAAAAGTTTTACATATAAATAAACCTATGAGACAATCAACTTCTCAAACACATTTTCTGCTACGCTGTTCCTCGCCTTTACTTCATAGCTTTACATTCTTTACCCAAACACTTATATTTAGTCTCTTTTCCTGCTTTAACTGTAACAACAGCAGAAAGTCAAAACAAGGACTCTTGTTTCCTGAGTCACAGCTGGTCACCGGGCAGCTGTCCTTTCCTAAAGTATAGGTCTTAAACCTTAAACCCCTTGTAATTAAATGAGAGTAAACTGTGTTGAACTCTGCTTAAACGTCTGCCTCCGTAGACTCGCTTCTAAACTTTATTTTTATTGCTTTGGAGGCCGTTCTGTCAGGAGGACCGGCTGTCTGCTCGTGCATGGAGTACAAAACTCTGTTGTTGTTGCTTCAGTGAACAACAGAGAGGTAATTAGGTCATTTGCTGTCAGACTAGTTTGTGTGTCTAAAAAGCGACACAGACACTTTAAAAGGATGTTGTGCAGTGAAAGCTCTATTTACCAGCAGCCCTCCATTAACAACTGTGTTCAGCCATCGTCCTGCCCTCACCAGAACCATGAACATCGATCAGACAATATCTGTTCAGTGGACCTTCAGAGCACATAAATACCTCTATTCCCACTTTTTGTTCTTTGTGCTGTGAAAGCAGAACTCAACAAGCCCATTAAACCTTAAAAAACTGAAGCAGAGCGAATGGAAAGAGAAAATATCATCAGAGCAGTAATAAGAAAAAGATGAGTGCGATGAAGCGAACACACTCGGCCTGAGGCTCTGAGAAACAAAAAGAGAGAGAGAGAGGGAGAGAGCAGGTACTGCTGACAGAGCTTCTGCTGCTTTGAATGATACGTCTTTTGTTTGTGATGGAGTCTCCCTCTAACCTGAAACTAATTGTTTATGTGTGGAGACAGCAGAGGCTGGATGTGGCTTGTTGAATAGTTCTCCAGGTCTGCACTGATTAATATGGATCAGGATTTTTAAGAAAGAACAAAAAGAAATGTTAAAGCTTTGTTCTCAGCACTGAAGCTTTGTTTAACTACTTTTCTGATCGAATATGATATTGATTGCATCTGTATGATTCATAATTATACTAATAAAAAAGTTTGGTATGGAAGCCCAAAGAAGACATGCATCCATACTACTTACTAAACTTTGTTTTCCCTGATAAGTTGAATTCTGGTTGTTTTCTCCAACATTTCTATAACACTCTTCTTTTGCTGTGATAATGAGGACATTTCATTTTTCTTGACATCTCGAGAATTAAACTTGTCATCACAGGAAAACCAGATCTTGAGAAAACAACCGAAATCTACCTGTTGTCACGAGCAAATAAAAAATGAGGAGAAATTCACACATGTGGCTGATGTTGTCTCAGGGCTTCTGCAGTTAGAGAGGAAGTGAGAAGTGTCTTTATAAGAACTTTGTTGTTTGTCACTCACACTTTGAGATTGCTTCAACAGTGCAAAATATTTATTTTTTAGAAGTTTTGATGAAGTATTGAGTTCCCTTTTCTTCTTACAGTAGCTTGGTCACAGATCTGTTTCTTATTCCAGTTATCAGTGTATCGTTTCTTGTATAAAGTACAAAGAAATATGTGTCTGAAGATTACCTATTATGAACCCCAATTAAAAAAATATATATATATTATAATATGATTTATGTTTTATCTGATTTTACATCATAAGGTTGTAGTTGTAAGAGCAGTAAAAGTTCCTAACCCCTAACTCTAACCCTAAGCATCTAGAATTTGAGAATTATTTGTCCTACTATCACTGACGCAGATTTTGATACATATCATTGAATTCTACTCTTTCTCTGCTGGAACCTGAGATGTACACATTTCAATGTTTCTGCATACAGATGCATACAAACCCCCCCACGCTGACCCCCAAGTACTAAGACTTCATATGCCTTAATATAACAGAATTTATCAAATATGTACATTTTGAAATTTACTACAGGACTCTAACTTAATAAGTATTAAGTGACCTTTCTCTGACCTGCATCACGAGCAGGTCTCAGGTCTCTAACTCTATCTTCAACTAAACAATCTGCTTTCGTAAAATAAATGCATGTTTTTGCTCTGTGCAAAAACGTTCATGTTTTATCTTCATTGCTACTAATATTTTTTATTTGTAGATTATTTTTTCACATTCTTTTGCAAATCTTAATGTGTATGAATGTGTATGTGGATATGAGTGAGATGTGCTTGGATTGTGTTTGAGTGAGTGTGCTGGTGTATGTGTACATATTTGATATGCTGCAGCTGGATTGCTCCTACAGAATGTTGTTGTATAAATTGCAATGACAATAAAGATCTCTCTATCTATGTTCTTAAATGTAATAAGGTGTATCCTGCATCCCTTGACAGTGTGTCAACATCTTAACAAAACCTGTCACACTCGTCCTCATCTAATGTCGGCTTCAGATCCCTCTGATCAGATCTGTGTTCTTAAAGCGCAGCAGCCAGTGATGTTGTGAAAATGAAACCGTTATAGAAGTCTCCCGTCGACAGATGTCCACATGATTCTGTTTTTCCCGGAGCAGATGTCTCTGATGCTTGTTTCCTCATCTATATTTCATCAACATGTGGGTGCTCAAAACTGTTCCACTTACAACTCATCATCGTACAAAGTTTTCATTCATTTTCAAAAACCGTCAACGCGTTGTAGCGTGCTTTAATCCCCTTTTTATCTCACTTATTCCTAAAAGCTGTGTTTCATCCTCACATTGTTTAGATGTGATTGAACGTGATGTCAGACAAGGAGCTGTTGGACTTTAGGGATGTCTCTTTAAAGTTATGTTGTCATGGTAACCTGAAGTACAGACAGTGTCCTTAGTGTGAAACTCATTATTACCCATCATGCATTGAAACTTCCTTTTAGTAGCATTGAAAGAGTTTACCTGAATATGTGTTTCAGCCCGTGTGCCTGCACTTCATCTGAGCTACAGCTGATACACTTCTGACTGAATCATTTACAGATTTATCATCAGGTTTCTGTCCATTTATTTATAGTAACTTTACGATCAGAGGGTTTATATGATGAAGGTTGTTTTCTTAATCACCTCTTTGGGATCGTACAGCTCCTCTTGATATTCAACATGTCTCTGTTTCTCTGTGTCTCCTTCAGCTCTCACTCGGGGATGAACAGTGTGAAGTGACGCGGAACGGCTTCGAGTCCAAGGAGCTGGTCTACCTGGTTCACATTTACTGCCAGGTAGGAGCTGATTCACTGGTCTGATGATGCACAAATACAAATCCATAACCTCCCACAGCATGCATACACTGAGACATACTTTACTTCATCTGCAAACACACACACACACACACACACACACACACACACACACACACACACACACTTGTAATAGTGTATTTATGTGTGAGGTGATGGTTCAGAATAACCTGTTTAGACATCAGCTCAGATCTCATCCAGACATTTCTCAAACACTTCACTGATTGTTTAAAAATTCAAGTTATGTGGGAATTTGGAAGCGCACTGAAAAAAAAGTGTGTATGGATGCCAAGATGAGTGAGAGATTCTAAAAATGTGTGACGGAGAGGACTTCTCACACTGACTCCAGATAGACCGTATGGTTTTTAGTCTCAGTGACATCACTCATCAGTTTCTGAAGCTGGACGATGGCTGTCAACACGTTGGACATGCTGACTCCACCTGACTTGTGATCAGTCTAGTAACAGAAAAAAGGGAGAGTTGGGCTGGGCCTTAAGCCTCCTGGCAAATGGATACATGTTGACCCCCTGTCGGTCAACTCAGCCACGCCCCCAAATATGCAAATATATGCATATTACCAATAAAGAAATGACTTATTCAGACAAAGACCTTGATTCAGTCTGGCTGTAAACATGTTTTTATCTTCTGTATAAATGGGCATTTTATTATAGGACCTAGAATGAGAATTTCTTAGCTTTTGGGGCGAGCTTCAAGTGGACACTGGAGGAACTGCTTTTTTTTAGAGGATGGAACATATTCAAAACAAATACATTTTAATTTAAAAGACAAAAAATGTCCCCCCCACCACTCTCTCATCCCTACATTTCCTTTCTCTGTCTTCAGCTATCCTATCAATAAAGGCAAACATCAGCCCAAAAACATTACAGGAAAAAAAGAAAAAGCATATTAAAAATATAATTATTTCTGCCGTTATGTACTCGGTGTGTGCTGATGTAAACAGGCTTCGGTTCACTCAACCAAATCAGACACAGAAATCAGTGGAACAGCAGCTCACATGTGGGCAGTAGAAACTTTATAAAATGCAGAGTTTAACTACACAACAGCAGCTTGCATAAGAAATAAACAGTTTAAGCATTTATAGTGAGTTGTTTATGTTCAGTCGAGGCTGATGCTGTTTGTTTCCTCATGTGGAAGTGTCACATGATGGAGGCTTGACAAACTGATTGAAATCATTTATTATAAAGTCATAAACAAGTTTTCCAGTAATTTGATTAACCTGAAATCAGGCAAACCAGCAAATCAGCAAAGTGAAACCCACACATGCAGAGCAGCTGCTCAGAAGATTTGCCCCGGTCTTCTCCTGTGACAGTTTTCTGGTTTCATGCATTTCCCTCCTCAGATCATATTCCGTTTGCACGACCTTGGCGTTACTGCACAAGAATGCAGCCTTGTGCTTGTACTTTCACTCATAGCCATCGGAAAAACTACACAAATTCTGTTTGAAAAAGGCAGGGGGGAAGCTGTCAGTGATTTGGCCTCGAGTCCTGCACTTAAAAGAGAGAAAGTAGCTCAGAGAGACTGGTTTAGCTCCACAGACCCAGAAAGGCGGAGGACTAGAAACACCGTCTGAAAGTGGGGCAGGAAAGCAGAAAGAGTTCCCCGAGCCTGCAGAGCCCTCCCAGCTCATCTTTTAAAGCAGCTCTGGTATCGGCGGGCCGAGTGGTGCACTGCAGTCCCCGTCGCACAGCCCTGGCCTCAGTACACACACACACTTCTTTCTAGGCCAAATCAAAGCCAAAGATTTTTCCACCACTCGTTTCTCTCTCTCTCTCTCTCTCTCTCTCTCTCTCTCTCTCTCTCTCTCTCTCTCTCTCTCTCTCTCTCTCTGAGGGGGTTTTGGGGTTTGGAGAGCAATCTTTCTGGATGAAAAAGAAACAACAAATCCATGCATGGAGTTACATTTAATGTGGTGGATTGAAAGAAGAACTCTCTGGGTTTGCACTTGCACTGTTGGCACTTAATCACTGCATTTTACCAAGAAAGGGGCTGAGTAAGCTGCTGATGTTCTTTGTTTATTAAGACTTTGATTATCAAAGCATTGAAGTCCACTGGAGACCTAACCCTTTTTTAATTTTCTATAATTTTTTGACACCCTTGAAAGCCATTGTGGGTCAGAAGGGACTAAAACAGAAGAGTGACCGTAGTGTTGGATAATAAAAGGCTTTAGAGGGCTTTTCTTTCTGCTGACACAAGCGATGTTGGCTCTCTCTGGACTTTTATCCACAAAGTTCAACTACTGGCGGAAATATATATACTTTTTGATCCAGTAAAAGTCGCTCTTGAGCACCAGCATGAAACCAAAACAAACTGCTGTTTGGCAAAGCCTCCGCTCTCCTCCAGAGACACACCTCCAACCCCTCTCCACTCACACTCACTCGAAGGAGTTATGAATGAGGACGCACCATAATGAAGCACCTTTAAGTTCAAGAGGTGGCAAAATTGTCCTTTGCTGGAGCTGCAATCAGCTGTGGCCTGCATTGTTGTGTTAGCATGCTAATGCTATGATCTATGTTCTTTTCTTTAGTCATTGACTGAATCAGCTTTATACACAAGGCCATCCATGTAAACACGATGTAAACACAGCTCTGACAACATTACAGCTGGCGAGACTCACTCTTCTCACTCATTGTAGACAGTCATGACTCAGGGAGACATTTACAGGATGATACACTGAGGACACCACGGAGGATATACTTGAACTTTAAGAGGCTACACTAATTGACACGTAGAAAAACTTATACATCCATTGTGCAGATTATAAGACTGAAAATGTGAACTTTTCTGCCCCACCTTCCTGCATAATATTTTAAAGAAACTCAGTGTAGAGTGTGGGAATAAATGTTCCACACATGCATAAGAGAAACACTAGTTGTCTCATGTTAACTATGCAAAAATATCTTACCATGACAACAGCTGAATGGACATATTGCTTTCATGCAGTTCTCTATTGAATTAAGTTTTCTCTGCTCTAGTTTTCATGCGGCTTACACTCGTATGTTTTCCTTTCTGAAGGGTCGGAGCTGGATCGTGAAGCGCAGCTATGAAGATTTCCGTGTCCTGGACAAACACCTGCACCTCTGCATCTACGACAGACGTTTCTCCCAGCTGCCCGAGCTGCCTCGATTGGACAGTCTGACGGATCAGTCAGAGGTGAGCACTGGAAACACATCTTACTCACTCGTGCCTCTATTCTACACGACGGTGCAGCTCTACTCCACTGCCTGTTCACACATCACAGCGGGAGACTTGTACTCTCAGATGGGAGGGGGGAGGGGGCGGGGGTTCCCAGGAGGAAAGATATGATGTAAAAGTGACAATGCAGACATGGCGACAAAATCATCAACGCTATAATGACATTTTTTGCCCTAAAATCAATGCTGACCATTATTTGACATATTAAACGATTGAGTGGTGAAAGTCATACTAGTGAGGAAAAAAGGGAATGAAGCCATTACGTACCTTAAGATTGTGCTGGTCTCTAACATGATGTTATTGTCTCACCTACCGCCCACTCAGTCGAGGGGAGTTTTCCTGAACAAAAGACGTCCAGTTAAAGTCGGGGTAAAAGTTGGTTTGTTTGCATTCAAACTTTCAGCTCAGCCTGAAAGTTTTTGTAAGGAACAACATCTGACTGCAAACTAAAGTTTTCAAGGCTGCTGGCAAAGTAATTCACTCAGTTGCTTTTTTAGGTTCAAATCATGTGTTGTTCTTTTTTTAACTCTATAAAAAATCCTGCCTTCACAAACACAAAGCAATGACATTTTATTTTCAGAGTTTGGAAAGTTTTTTCTTCGTAGTTTTTCTTAAATCTAACAACACTTTATTTACACTCCATGATCTCTCCAGACTCCCTCAGACCCTAAATCAGATGAATGATTGCTTTGTCTGCACATTGACTTTTAAAACACAAGATATCAAAGTTTCAGGTATCGAGCTGAAACCTGTTACTCTGCTTTGATATTGAATATGATCACCATGGCTTTAGTCTTGGGAATGCACTGTTTGATATTTTGCCAGTTTATTTGCTCTTCAGCCTGTGAAATGAATCCTGATCCACACAAAACCTTTTGGTCAGATTGAAGCTTTAGCAGGAATGCAGAGGCTCGGTATCAAACCAAACCGGTAAAACCAGTTCATCACTGAGGGGTTATTGTGTGTGTGTGTGTGTGTGTGTGCAGATCCTTTCAGAATAATAGCTTTACAATGCCTCCTGCAGAACACTATTGTACTCTCACCCGCAGCTGTGTTTATGAGAGCTGCAGGAGCAGAAACCTGCAATCCTACTCTTTCATGTCATGGAGTCAGAAGCTGATTTCACATTTACACTCCTGAAATATCCAGCTTGTTCTCACATCAGCTCACTCGGACTTGCTGTGGAAAAAATAATAGGAGGCTAGCAGGAGAAACTCCAGGTGAAGTCAGAGTGAAAAATGAGGCTGTTTGCGTTCACACATACAGCTCCTACTGCAAATATCAGGAGTTTTCTGCAAGTGATACATCACACATGCTGATATTTATGCACCAAAACTTTCAAACTGAACTTACCCTGTGATATAAAGTCCTGTGAAAGGTTTACAACATGTGTGATTTGTTTCTTTACTGCTAAAAAACATGTAAAACACAATCAAACATCTATGTAAACGTTTGATATTCAGGGTCTACCTGACTGATCAGACTCTGACTGCCCTGTGTGTGTGTTTTTCCTCATGTCAGTCAGTTTCCCAGATGTTGTTGGCTTACCTCTCCCGGCTCTCAGCCATCGCTGACAACAAGATCAACTGTGGACCGGCCCTCACATGGATGGAGGTGAGGCTCAGCTGTTCTCTGACCACTAAGACACACATACTCTGATAACTTAAACAACATGTTTTAAATGTATCAGAAGCTCTTTTTTGTTTCTTCAAAAGGTGTGAGGTATTGATTTTATTAGTTAATGAAGACACCAGAACACTATTGAAGAAAGGAGTTGTAGCCTATAGTATATTGGTAGTATCAGTACACTAACACAGTATAGTAGCTAAGAAGAGGTGGTTTTATCCATGACAACAAGAAATTCCCAGAAAATCTCGTTAAATCTTTAAAACTGAATCGATTAACAAAAGAAGTCAAACAATGATGATTTTTAACATAAACGATGACCTGGGGCTGAACAGTGTTCCACTTGTTCTGTAAAAGATGAATCAGAGTTTCTGCTGCTTCCAAATAAAGTCATTTAGTTTTGTAGAATCTTCTAGTAGATCCTTGCAGCATTTTCAGGACATTGTAGTTATTAATTTCCTCTTCTTAACAGCCAAATGAATAAAGTAGTAGAACAATGAGATTACGTCAAGATGTTTTTGTTTTTCTGCAGATCTGTTGTGTTTTCATGTTTGTGTATCTTTTCATGCAGTTGTATATTAACCAGTGGTGTGTGTCTGTGTCTGTGTCTGTGTCTGTGTGTGTCTGTGTCTGTGTCTGTGTCCGTCTGCGTTAGGTCGACAATAAAGGGAATCACCTGCTGGTCCATGAAGAGTCGTCGATCAACGTGCCAGCCATCGCTGCTGCTCACGTCATCAAGCGCTACATCGCCCAGGCTTCAGATGAGCTCTCCTTCGAGGTGACAGCACTTCACACACACACACACACACACACACTCTCTCTATCCCTCTGAATGGTCAACATAAGGCTTAATTACAAACGTCAACTGTGAGTTGATTTAGCAGCTGAATATTCATTTTGAGACGTCTAGTGTTGAACAATTCTGCTCAAAACAATCGTTACCGTGGTGATATTCTGGTAACTGAAAGTTTACAACAAATAACAGTGTGACAAAAGAAAAGGTCGACACAATACATGAAAACAGTAATAAAAGACAGAAGTGCAATTTGTCGACTATAATATACCAGAAGCTGTTTGAATAGCTGCTTCTATCAGAGAAAGGGTCAGTGCATGTTGTGCATCTTTGTTTTGGTCAGTTAGTAAACTGCTAACTCATCATTTGACACAGATTTTAACATGAAACTGCTTTATTTAATGTTTGTTTGTTAAATTAAAAGGCTTCATGGATTTGAAGAGGAGGAGATGAGCTAGGCTAACGTTAGCATCAGCTCAGCCTGCAGTCCTTAATAACGACCTGCGTCCACAGAAGAGCATCAGAGAAAAGCTAATTCATGTTAAACTGTTCTTTTTAGTGGCTGAATGCCTAAAGTTAAATTCTACTTTCACTAAGTTAGTCTAACTCTTATTGCTGTGACTGTAACGACCATGCTTGAAACAGAGAGAGCATGCTGACAACAGCACTTCTCCTCAGTCTGATAAATTAGTAATGACACACTTAAACCAACAACCTCATCAGATTCATTATTTAAATTCAGACTGTCTTATATAAAGTTAACTTTCCATTAAATATGACTCATCTGTGGTTCATGATGACATTTCCTAGACTTGTATGTAGTGTTAATCACAATAGATAATGAGGCGTTCTTTTGGTCGACCTCTTAATTAAACATGTTTTTAATATTCCATCTCTCCCTCTGGTTCTCTCTGCAGGTCGGAGACATCGTGTCTGTGATTGACATGCCCCCTAAAGAAGACACCACATGGTGGAGAGGCAAACATGGCTTCCAGGTACACAGCTCACACAACACTCAAAAACACACCCACACACACACTTTCTATTTCTCTCTGTCTTGTCTTGTCGTTGGAAACTTTTGATTAGGTTTTTTACTGGAGGTGTTTCAAGGACGAGGAGAGAACGAGCGCCCTCTTTGTAAAGCAGAATTCAAACTCAAAAGAGATTTTTGAAAGACAAAGCGAGATACAAATCCTCTTTTATGTGAAACTTGTGAGTAGATTACAGGGTGTGAGCCTCCACTGGTTCATTTCTACACTCAGTCTTCAATTCAATCACAGAAGAAAACAACTCTTGTGCTTTTCAGGGCTTTTGTCACAACCTGCTGTTTTTCTCCAAGTTTTGGCTCCCAGCATCAAGTCGTCTGAGGAGCTTGCGACCTGCAGTGTGACTATTGCATATGCGCACATGGTTTCGCTCAATCGGACATGCAGTCCTCTCTTTCCTCGTGTGCACTTCAGCCCTCTGTCAAACAGAAGCAGTCCTCATTGTCAGAGTGTCAGCCAGCAGACACTCACTGATCAGTGCACTTATAGTCCAGATGAGCTGTCAGTGCTCTCCTCTGGGTTACAGAGCTTCTCTCTCTGAATGGAAGAACAAGGAGAGGATACTTTTTTCAGCATGTTAATCTGACTTCTGTAGTAATCTACAGAAATCTAATCAATGACAGCTGGTATCGGTTGCATCCCCCCGCAACCCCGGATGTGAAAAGCGGTATGGCTAATGGATGGATGGATGGATGGATGATTGAAATGAACACAGGACGTGTATCACAGGAGTATGTCGTTTAGCCAATCTGTGACAACTTGATTTCTCATGTTCTCCACACCACACCACAAGGTCTAAAGTACATCTCCGTCACAACGCTTACAATAACATCATCACGTGATTAAAATGTTACCACACCTGAGTGTGTCGTCCGTCTGTCAGCCTTTATTTCTTTATCTAAATCTGATTGTACTCCCTCACACCTCACCCTGTCTCTCTCACTCGTCCCTCTCTCTCTCTCTGTTCAGGTCGGCTTCTTTCCCAGCGAATGTGTGGAGCTCATCAATGACAAAGTGCCGCAGTCCATGACCAACACGGTGCCTAAACCAGGTACTCCTCTTCCTCTTCCTCTTCCTCTTCCTCTTCCACCTCCTCTCCTCTTCCTCCTCTTCCTCCTCCTCCTCCGCTTCCTCCTCCTCTTCCTCTTCCTCTTCCTCTTCCTCTTCCTCCTGCTCCTCTTCCTCCTCCTGCTCCTCTTTCACAGGAAATGTCTTGAAAGGGAGTGATCACCGGTAGGATCTAATGTCTTCCTGATATTGTTGTTCTTTTAGGGTTGTCATGATATCAGTATTCTAAACTTTGATATGGCAACAAAAATGCACTTCCCAATATTGGTTAATTTATTTTTTTGAATCACCAAAAAATGCAGGCAAGCTCCTTCACACTGTCTTAATCGCTCAAATCTTTGCAAAAGTATTTGTTGCTTTGCCAACATATTTGTGTAATTTATACAGCGCTCTGTCTTTCACTTCTGACAGCTTCTGGTTAAAGATATGACTGAAGATCTGAAGTTTTTTTTAAAGATACAGTAGTTTTTAACTTTATCGATTATTAAAGTAACAGAGATTGTAATGTTTTAGAACCCGTGGGATAGAACATTTTGACAGCATTAGTTTAAGTCTGTAATGAATGTTGTGGCTCGGGATGTGTCTGGTTGTATGTCTTACACATTGCTGCACATCTAACATTGTTTAATTGATTTCATATTATAAAACTGGATTTCTGTCTTAATATTGTACACAGTTATTCATAATTGTGATGTAATTTAAATAAATGTAATACTAAGATTTCTGTTAGGGGTTTCTGCCTATTTTTATAGAACTTAATCGAGCTAGTCTTTAATATAAAGCTGACTTAAAGGATTTAGAGATTACATACATTTATGGAGATGTTACAGTGAAAGTAAACCCAGTATTCTGACATCATCTCCTGAAATAGCTCTCTCCTTAATCACGTTATATTGAGTCAGCACTATGCAAATCCACTGGCAAATAACTGAGCTAATCTACTGCGTTCAGGGCAAACACGTAAGCTCTTTAGCACGCTCCACAGAGAGTCAAACACAAATACATATCATAAACCCTGCTGGAATGAAAGAGTGGCTGTGATAAAGACTTGAGCTGAACTTGAACTTTGCTCTCACTTGTTCACACTCTGAAATAGCAGCTCACTTCACTAAAGCCGAGCCCTTCTGATCAAACATAAGCGTCCTGTATGAATCCACGTCACCTCTTCCAAATAGAAAAAAGAAGGGATTCAACCAACATGAGTCACTCTCTCAGGGCTGTTTTCTGTGGGCCTGGAGAGCGGAGTCAGGGGTCTCTTCCATCATAAACCCTCTATGACTCTTCGAGGTCTGGAATAAGTGATCACACAGAGAAATCCACACAAACCACACAGATCATTACAGACGCAGGGTGTTATCAGCTGTGCCAGTCGATTATTGGAGCCTCTCACACTTTGTGACCGATCAGAAATGATTTAACTGTTTCAGCCCACTCCACGACTTTATCTGCCTGCACCCCCCCCCCCTTTGCTCTTTAGCCATGTTTTAATGCTTGCATGTTTCCCTTTTAGTCAGTTGTGCATTTTATCCTCTACAGAGCATCTGCAGGTCCAGTATATTAATAAGATACAACATTTAAATGTTCATCTGTTTTCTTGTTGTGTCCAATCTGATACATTTAAGTACATTTGTTCACATAGACTGTATAAGAAGTGGACAGAGTTATTGTGACAGCACTTGTTGGTTTTGAGCACTACTGTTTTGTATTCTACTGTTTTGGCATCGTCGTCGTCTAAATGTCACCAAACAAGAGAGTGAGCTGCAAAGGAGCAAAGATTCTGCACATGCTAACTTGAAGGCTAACACTAATGCTAGCTAGGCAATATCACAATACGAGCATTTACTAGAAAGATATTTCAAAAGTTGAATATATCATAATTTTTTCTACGTAAACAAACTTTGCTCACTCAGCATGTGTACATTTTAACCATTGGATGAAGGCCTGAGTGTAACATCCATGCTTTCACACCATTTGTATTCAGTCACATGAAGCTCAAGTTAGATATGAGCAACACTCAGAATATTGATGCCAATTTAAAGCTGTGAGAAAAAAGCTTTTTGATTTGATTCAGAAGAAACATGTTGCATACAGTCATTTTGTAAAACATGAAGGTGAGCAGATAGATAGATATAAAAAATGCAAATAGCTAATATTCACTCTTTGTCTTTGCTTATCAACCTTCAAAATGTTGAACAACGATATCATACATCACATTCATTTTTCATGCCCTGGTGCTAGCTTGGTTGATAAATAGCCTCCATAATTTACAGTAACTGCAGTATTATTCAGCATGATCAATTTAGCAAAATACAGAATTTAAACAAAATACAAATTCTGAAAAAATGAATAGCTTACTTCTCAGAATGTCTTTTGTGCAACCAGTCGCTGAGAAAAGCCATTTTTCAGGTTGTCATGGTAGCAACTTGTCAATCAACGATAACCATGCCTTAAAGCAGACCCTGTTTTCGCCTCTCCTTTTTTTTTTATTGGACTGTAATTTAACTGTAATTGAACATCGTGTGAATGAAAATAAACTCAAAACTTAAAGTTTTTAGTGAGGTAATAAATCAAGTGGGTAAAGTAGGATCTTTTTTTGTTTTAATGAACTTCCAAATTGTGACAACCAGTGGTTTTGCCCCCTGCTGGCCAGTGGAAGTAATGCAGGATAAATACACATCTGCATTTTTCACTTTTGTAACACTTTGTCCACTTCTTATAGTATTTATGATTTTAATCAATTCTATCCAAAGTGTAGTAGTAAGCTATCTAAAACCTGCAGATGCTCCGTTGTTATTATATTGAATGAGCTTTATCAAGTTCATTATCAGTGTCAGAACAAATAATTATATGTCATTGTATATGAGCTGCCTGTTTATGTGTCCAGACTGCACTGCTTGAGCTCCACTGCATTGCATCATTAATACTGTTGTTGTCTCACTGCAGAGGGATGTTTATGTGCATTAGCATGTTTTTGATTTGTTGCTTTTGACTGTGACTCCTCTGCCTCAGCCTCCCCCTGCTCTGGCCTGCAGCCCGCTTCTTGGAGTCTCTTCCCTCCCTGTGCGTGTTGGTATACACACACCTCATCCACCTGTCCACTCAATCTGCCTTTACTGTCTCACACACAAAATACACCTGCACATTTTGACTTGTATGACAAGTGTTTAAAGTTATAATCCTGAAGATTTCAAACCTGGTAAATTTGACATTCCCGTTTTTTCTACTGATGTTGAAATGGTCAGCATCTATAAGGCTATGTAACACATATATTTTCATTGCAGCCAAATGAAAAAATACAAACAGCAATCCAAAAGAATGAGTAGACATTTATTAATAATGTTAAGTATCTTTATTAAAGCAGCCTTCTAACTATCTGTGCACACTTCTATGGCTGTCAAAACGGTGAAGGTCTATTCTCATTCCAGCCCTTAAGTCACATAACCACCTCCATATTTGTAAAGTCTTTCCCCTCTTCAATTTTTCAGTGGTATCGATCACAGAAATCCCATATTGGTCAGACTCATCGACTGGTTATTACAGCAAGTGCAATTTCTTACTACAGATCCCAGAAGTCTCTCTTACAAACTCACATTGATTTAACAAAGAAATTGTGCTATAGTTGGTCTTTTCCATCATGCCATAAGCAACCTTCATCTGATTCATGCTGCATGTGGTGCAGGTAGGTTTCCCTTTAAACAGCAGGACACAGTAACAGTGAGATGGTTATCTATGAGGAGATGTGCAGCTCTTTATCAAACACCAGACTGTAAATAGGTTTTATGTCCTTTAGCTCCTGAAATATTTACATCTGATCCTGCAGCTGTTAGGTTAGCATTAGCAGCTCTGATCCAGTGTACGGAGAGTCAACAGTAAACTGTGAGGCTGATATCCATCAGATCAGATTAAACACATTACCGCTGTATTACATGCTGCATTGTTTCCTGTGAATCCGTGAGGCGTATAAGGACATCTCAGTGTCAGGCAGGAAACGGTAAACACTGTCACTAACAATGAAAACTTCTACATAAATATGAACAAAAAAACGGTTTTGATTTCATGAGAATCTTAAGGATTATAACTTTATTATTATATTGAACTCATCACGTAAAAAGGACTTGTTTTGTGTTGAGTTTAAAGTTTCTTTACTTTTATTATAATCATCCTCTTGCCAAACAAATTACTGCTCAAACTTTAAAGTGTCATTTCTATGCATATAGCTGCTGACCTCACAGTGCCAGCTGTACACAGTTGTTCTGTTTTCTAACTTTACATGCTTCTCTCCCTCTGCTGATTCTCTCACATCTCCGTCATCCATCCATCCATCTGTCTGTCGGTCCATCCTTCCATCCGGCTGCATGCAGACTTGGAGATGGAGAGTGTAATACAGGACAATGCATGGGTGGCCGACCCGCTAAACCACTACAGCATAAGTTCAGGTAGACAAAAATCCTCTGGTGTGCTGCACCGTGATATCCCTTTAACCAAAAACTAACAACACAACCCTGTGTGATGTGTCTCTGATACTACTGGTTTGTTTACCTCTTATATTGGGGTTATAGCTTCACAGGGGACAGTCCAGTCTGCTGTGACCCGTCTACAACCTTTAACACAGTTGTGCACATCATCTCCACACTCTGTTCTGGGACCAATAAGTGTTTAGCCACATGTAGTTTTGCAGCTGTAGTGATACATAGAGCTGGAAGTACTTCTCTTTCTAGTGTGTCTGTCTGTGTGAAACTTTCTCGGGTAATTCCTGCATTTCAACCTGGTTCCTACTTTTCCTTATTTTGAGTTTAAAAGAATGATGTTTACAAATACGTTTAGGAACTGCTCCAGTCAAGTGTTTCAGCCAATCAAAGAAGGTCCACAGTTGTTTGTTTTTGACACTGACAAACTCTGACTTTATTTAAACTGTTTGAAAAGATCAGAGGACACTTGTGTTTTCTTAAGGTCACATCCTCTTTTTACACAGATTAAAGCCAAATTAAAAGTCAAAGCCACTGTACTCCTTCACCACAAAGAGGTGTTTTTACCTCACAGAACACAGGAATGTCTGATCTATGTCTGCCTCAACTAGTTAGTTTATCTTTGTTCTTGTGTTGTGTTGGATAAGAAATAACCTTTTAAAACTTCAGTCAGAGTCAGAATCGATTGTATTGCCAAGAACGTTTACACATACAAGGAGGAATTTGAAAACCTAATCTTTTGATGCATAAATAAACTACACAGGAGTTGAATAGAGAAGTTAAAGGTCATGAAACAGCAGTAATCTTACTGTCAAGGCACCCGAATAGAAAATGATGCAAAGTCCCTCGTCAAGACAACAAAACCCAACAGGTGGTTGAGGCTGCATTAAGCACTACTCAAGTGTTCTGTGGTGTAAAAGTGTTTTTGTTAACGGGGTCTGGTGGTTTGGAAGAAGACAATATAAGGAACAGCATCTCAATCATTCTTATTCAAAACCACCAATAAGTACTTTCTTCAGACACATGTGATAACAACCCCAACCTGTCAGTGGAAAAAACAAACACTTCGATTACACACTCCTCTGTCCTGAAACTGTAACAGTAACAAGCCAGCCTTCAGCTGCTAGCAAATAAATCTACTGGAGCAACTTTCAAACCTATTTGTCATATAGACTCTGAAATATTTATGATAATTCCATGGTTTAAACAAACTGGATTTCACTTTGAAGGTCCTGCATATTCCTTCTGCATGGTCAGACTCTATATATTATAGAACTGTATTTTGAATATGCTCAAGGTCTTGGCAGCATGATTGCACCTGAGTGCTTGGTATTTGTCTAAAAAGTTCAAATGTGCTGTATGTGGAAGTTTTGAGGTTAGATTTCGATGATGGAAAATGCAGCCCCACTTTTCAAATGTTGCTCTCCAAAAGAAATATCCGTCCAGCTGCCTGTTCCTTTTTCTGTGTTGGCCCCTAAAGGTGTATGCAAATGAGTTCAGGGGTGAGCCAGGTTACTACAGCACGTCTCAAAAGGCTGCTGAATGTACCCTGTGTCTGGACGGGGGCCAGCTGTGTTTGTGTGTTTGGTCGCAGTTGAAAGGCCGAGCAGGGGTGCCACGGTGCTGGGGTCTCGACCGGCCTTGATTTATTTAATCCTTTTACAATGAGGGGGCCTGTAAACCCATCCATTGAGCGCTAAGCTTTGTCCTGCAACAGTAAGAATCTCTGTCTGCCTCGCCATGGAGACTGAAAGAGCACATTCCTGCAGGGAGCCGCACGGCACTGGAAAAATATGTGTGCTCTGCCTAGATCTACCGCTCACCACCAACCTTTCCCAGTGAAACCATGGAAATAGTTAACATGCTGCAGTTAAAGCAAGAAGAAAGAAGCTAGGAGTTATTAGCCTTTTGTCTGTGAGCTTCACTCCGCAGTGAAACCAGAGAACAGAGATCACTCTTCTTGACAGTTCAAATAAACTCGTCTGCTGACATGAAATAAAGAGTTGTAGTCTTTGGATAAAAAAAATGGCCGACAGCCGTCTTTCCTCCCCAGACAGCCAAACAGACCCGACCAGTTTCTGACCCAGATGTAAACCTCACCCCCCTCCTCTGTTCCCCTCCTTAGCGCAGGCCTTCTCCACGTCTGGGGACCAGTGATTGGGGCAGCTGTGAGCACACATGAGCCAAGACAGCTGGTTATGTGAGGGAGACAGGAAGTGCACTGAGGAGAGAATGTCTGTGGGACAGACTAAGATCTGTCCTCAGATCATTTCCCCGGGTCTGTGAGACTTTATGAGATCCCTCGTGTTGCTGTGCAGCTTCAATAAGAGTCTGTTGTTGTTGTTGTTGTTGTTGTGGACCACACCTTGGTTTGGAAGAGGCTTCAACACTTCTGATGACGGTTATATTTTAACCTGAAGCACAAAGATGATTGCTAATGAATATCTGGAGTTACATTACACAGACTCACATTGCATCATTATTGTGCTCTGTTGCATATTCAAAACAAATTATTTCACACTGTGTTGCTGCAGAGCTACAAAGTTAACAGGCGTTTGGGGCAGCAGGTAGGGATTCAGATTTACGGCCGTGTTTATGTTGCAAACAGCATGGCGTTCAGCTCCTGTACATTGAACTTTGCATGGAGCTGTAAAACACACTTCCTCGCTGGTTCCACATCCCCCAGTTTGAATCAAACCATTTAGCTCCATGCAAAACAGCTGCAGTGCAGTTAATCCCTCACAAAGCTCTCATCCTGTTTGACTCGTGACATCAGAGCTGCACATCCTCTAGAGGTGTTAAACTGCACATTACTAATAGTCCACAGTCCTGCAGGAGAACCTCACCTCAAGCTAAGTTTCATCAGTTTTCACCCACTGAGATGAAACTGTGATTATTTTTTTCTTGGCAACTTAACCGTCCTGGCATTACACAGGGATGAGATTCTTCCAGATATACATGAAATTCCAGATTCTCCGTCCTGAACCGTTAAACAAAAAGACTTTAATTATCAATGGCAGGGTTTTCACACTTAGCTGTAAACACACCTTGGTGGCCCACCCAGATAGTCTGTCCGTTTGCCCACTGTTTCAAAACATTTTTTTCTTTTTTTATCAGTATCTCAATTTAAGATTAATTAAATAGCAGACGATCTCTCCTCGCTCTTTACCCCTCGTGTTAGTATTGCGAGTAGTGTCAATGCTCTGCAGTTGATCAGAGAGAGAGAGCTGTTTTCAGCGCTACTGCGTGCATAAAACTCTGTAGAAACAAACCAAACTACTTTCAGGTTATTAAAGGAACAGATAAAAAGATGTGTTTCAGTAAGATATCCAAAGGTGTAAATCCTGTTTTTTTTTGTTTTTGGTCCTTTTCCAAATTTTAGAAAATGTTAAGTTACTAAAACTTTGTGCAGTATTCACTCTGAGTTGTTTTAGCAGCATGAACTTTTAAAATATTCTAAAGTAAGGTGATCTTAAAACTGTGCTTGTTGTATATTTACTTTGTTACTGAACATATCAGAGCTCTTCATGCAAAGATGTTTACTATGACTGTTTATCTCTGTGTTGTTAATCTCGTGTCATGTTTCAGCAATCACATGCAGGGAAAAAGGTCTGACTGCAGTCTTGTGATTCTGGACCGACAACAAATTAGTTTGACTTTATTTTGACTCAGTGTGTCTGCTTAGTGACTAAGCTAGTTAAAGCATTAATAAGATAATGCTTTCAGGGGGTCGAGGGGCCCCTCAGAGGAGGAGAGCGGGTTTAATGTCAAGACATCCAGTATGTTGTTTAAGCCGGACTGAATCCGTCTGACTGTCAGAGAGAGGCAGCTGGGGGTCAGTGGGTCAGCAGTGGTCAAGTCTGAGGGTCTTTCCTCCCACCTGACACCTGAGGAGTTTGAATGAGTCGTCAGTCAGGGAGGATGTGGGAACTGTAAGCATGGCAGCAGCCAATCAGGGTTCAGTTCAGGGTGAAAGATAATCAGAATAAAAGGAAGTATTAACTACTCTCACTATCATACCAATCGACACAGATTCTCAGTGAAACACATTTATTTGTTAGATTTTGAACTTTGTATTCAGGTCTAGAGATACGAAAAGTCCGGTCACTAAAGTATTTAATTATAAATGAAGGAATGATTACGTTTGGAAAGTGTTAGGTGAGAATGAAGAAAGGGATACTGCTGGTTAGGAGGTGTGCGCGCGTGTGTGTGTGTGTGTTCTGTATGAAGGAGTGTTTTCTGATGTGTAAAAAAACAGCCTCACTCATGGCCTAATGACAGTGATGCTATGTTCAATTGCTGTTGGAAATACTAGAATCAAGCTCATGTGTGAGCCAGCAATCTAAACATTCATCTTTAAAATTGTTAAAGGTCCCATATTCTGCTTTTTCTGGTTTTATATGCTCTTTAGTGTGTTTTCCATGTGTCCTGTGCATGTTTAGGCACATCTATTTGCAAAAATTCAAAGTCTGCAGAAACGCAGCTTCTCCTACGTCCTCCTGTTAGCTGTAGCATTAGCTGCATGTAGCGCTCAGTTCTAGCCCCCCTCGATAAAAATGTGTCAGTCTGACATCATTGTCAGTGTGAGATCACTGATCTAAGCCCATTGGCTCGTTGTGGCAAGCCCTGCAGCTCATGTTGAAATTTCTGAGACGCATGCTAAGCAACTGACCAATAACGACAGAGCGGATCGGCAGACCAATCAGAGCAGACTTGGCCCACGTGGGGTCTAACAGTGTGGGCTCAACAGAGTGTAGCTGACGGACTCAGAGCGTAGAGGGAGCAAGGAGGAGCAGTACATGAAAACAGACACTTTTTTCAGACTTTATCTATAGTGAACATACAAAAGTAGGAACATAGATTAAATATACAAACCCCAAAAGGGCAGAATGTGACCTCTTTAATGCACATTTTAATACTGTTTTGTAAAACTGCAGCACAAAGTTGCTTCCAGCTGTTTCTTTCTTTTG